AGTTCTGAAGTTGTGTTAGTTGGAAAAGGTAATAGTAAGAATTAGGTGTGTCCATGAGAGTGTTGAGAGTTTCTTGAGTACAGTCCAAAAGTCAGAATGTGTAAGTCTCCAAGAGTTTGAGAGTCAGAATCTGTTTCAAAGAGTCTGAATCTCCCTCTCTTCCCTTTGTCTTACTTTTAAAGGGGCAAATTCTCTGCACGTCACTAGTTGATAGGACCAATAAGGAACTGTAGGTGTGTCTTCCCCACAGACTATCATCTAGATTTTGGTCTGTAGATGGCGCAATTACATCACAAAAAATTCTTGTCAGGGGGTCCATTTACCTTTTTGCATAATGGATTAACTCAATTTTGTGATGTGTTTGACGTAATTTTCTTATCTTTTTATTGCCACTATATATTAAAATTCCTGCCAATTTCAAAGGCTTTTAACCAGTCTTGTTGTCTGGGATATACCTTTAAATCTTGCTTTCTGACATATCTAAACTCTTCTTCACCTCTTTCTTACAATGGAACTTTGTAAGATTCCGTTATTTTTTTATTTTATTTTTTTAGAATGTAAAAGTAACTACTTAGTCCCCATTTTGCTGTTAGACATCATACCTTATCTCAGGTTTTATCTTTAATGTTTACATTAGTCGCATTCCTTAGCTCAGACATGAATGACTAGAGTTACAGAAAGAGAAATCTTGTGTCTGTCTTAGCTTTGTAATACAAAATGGAGTCACCTGTGTTCTGAGGGTGACTGGCAGTATACACTTTTAATTTCTGTCTTAACACAAAATGTCTGCCGATATAAATATACTGACACAGTTCAGAATTTAGTGAATGTTTCCCATCTGAATTATGGATGCTTATTTTTATTAAGTTATTTCTGTTTACTAGACTCTGGTGTTGTTTCTCCTTTATTTTCTGTTGTGGTGTCTTATGTATGTTTTCCTGTTTTGTTTCTTTTTATCTCTATTTTGCTTTTGTTAGAGTTGTATCCTGTTACATAGTTACATAGGCTAAAAAGAGACATCAAGTTCAGCCTTTCTCACAACTGTTTTTGTTGTTGATCCAAAAGAAGACAAAAAACCCAGTTTGAAGCGCTTTCCAATTTTGCAATAAACTAGGAAAAAATTCCTTCTTGACCCCAAAAGGCAGTCAGATCTCTCCTTGAATTAAGATGCTGTTACCCAACTTGCTATAAATTATATCTCTGAATATTGTTTTTGCAAGTATTTATCCAATTGCTGTTTAAACCTCTGTATAGACTCCGATAAAACGACCTGTTCAGGCAGAAAATTCCACATCCTTATTATTTTTACTTTAAAACACTATTTCCTTTGCCTTAGACTAAGTCTTCTTTCTTCCAGTATAGATACATGAACTTGTGTCCTATGTATAGTCCTGTTTATGAATAGATTTCCAGACAGTGGTTTGTATTGGACCCAAATATATTTGTATGATGCTATCATATTCCCTCTGAGGTGCCGCTTTACTTAACTAAACAGATTTAAATTTGTTAACCTTTCTTCATGATTAAAATGTTCCATTTCTTTTACTATTTTTTTTAAAGGGACAGAGCAGTTTTTCATATTAAGATAGAACATAAAAAGGTTTCAGTTGTCAACAGTTTCCTAATAAACTAATAAACTGTTGTTGCATTAAATATATATATATTGAAGAAGGGCGCACTTGTAGGTCTTTATTACAGAAAATATTTTAATTCAAAGTGTTCAGTTAATGACCATAAGTTTCGACCACTTATGGTTATTATTTGTCCAAGCTTTTTGTTGAGATATATATATAGATATATATATATATATATATATATACATATAAGTTGTATTTTTTTTTTATCCTTACACCAAGGCTGTATTATGCAAACTGCCAGATGCCAGTCCTATAGGCTTAAAGTTACAAACAATTTGGTAAATAGAGGTAGTAGTGCAAAGGCAGAAAAGGCTGCGCAATACGGTAAAGTCTCGCTAATAAAACAGGATAAAACAGGGTGCAATCCTCAGGCGTTGGTAGTCAAAAAATAAAATAAAATAAAAGTCTCACTCTAAAACAGGATAAAAATGGGGTGTGATCCTCAGGAGTTGATCCTTCTGGATGGTTAAAATATCCATATATGTAGAGAGACAAAGGGAGATAAAAAACAACCAATAGTACAGTACACCAAAATCCAGGAATAGGTATTGTAAAAAAAGCAGGTAATACACTCACATTTAATATAGCTATAACCAGCTCTGGAGTGGAGGGTGTACAGTGGTATGATCCCCACTTAAAGGATATTCAGGAAGGTTGTCAGTACAGTCTGGGTATCCACGGCTCCGAATAGTGGTAAGAAAACAACAATAGTGCTCTCAATATGATAAAATTAAGATATAAATAATTAAAATTATACCCACAAATATAGAGCAGACAATACTGCTCTATTGATAGGGCGTTGGTGGAATTATCTCCACCTAGGATTTCTTTGAGTTCAGGAACAGATAAAATTGCCAGGAAGGATAGAAATAGTTAAAATAAAAAATGTATACAAAATACAATAAAAGGAAAATTGGTACAACTTAGGTGACCAAAAGACTTTTATTGCTAAAATACATAAATTAAAACCATAATGTGTTTCACCATATGTGGCTTCTTCAAATGGAGTAAAGCCTGCCACAGGAAGGTGCAGCCCAGGCGGTCAAATGCCTTTTCTGCATCTAAGGCCAATAGCGACACCCGGTTGGACCCCCTCATCTGGTCAAGAACCAACGACAGCTTCCCTTTGTTGTCCAGGCCCTGTCAACCCTGAACAAATCCTGTTTGGTCATCCTGGATTAGTAGGGGAAGTAGCTGTCCGATCCTGTTGGCCAGTATTTTAGCGTATATCTTTGCATCTGTGTTTAACAGCGAGATTGGATGTTAGTTTTTGCAGAGGTCGGGGGACTTGTCCTGCTTGGACAGCGTCACTATGGTATCTAGTAGCATGTCAGGAGGTAAGGATCCCGAGGTCAAAGCCTCATTATATTTAGTGAGCAGATGAGGGGCCAACATGTGCAAAAATGTTTTATAGTAAAGGTTAGAGAAGCCGTCTGCACCTGGTGCCTTCTCTGGGGGTAGTTGTTTGATGACTGACCCTATTTCCAAGATGGTCATTGGTCCCGTCAAGCTAGCTATATGGTTTGTGGTTAACTGGGGAAGGTGAGCTGAGTTAAGAAAGGTCTCAATATCCTTGCTATCAGGACTGCTCAGTGACTTATCTGAACTCAAGTTGTATAGTTTAGAATAAAAGCTAGCAAACTCCTGACTAATATCTTGCAGGCCTATGCATTTGTTGCCCTAATCCCCTTGGATATAGGGGAGGCAAGCGATTGGTTAAGGTTTTAGTAGCCTTCCTCGCAGTATGGTATGTAGTCGCTCTCAGCTTTAGCAACATCTATCTGTTTTTATAGCCTGCAAATTTTGAATTTGCTTGTGTAGGGAATTTATTTTTGTCAGCTGATCCTGCGAAGGGAATCTCTTATTTTGGGAAGAGTCTAGTGGTAACTGTTTATAACAGCCGTAAGGTCTGTGGAATGTCGTTTTTTCTGGTGCGCATATCTCTTCATGAATAACCCCCTAACAACAGCTTTATGTGCTGACCACAGTGTAGTCCCCGAAACCTCTCCCCCGGAATTAATGGTAAAGTATTCCGATAGATCTCACGCAACAGAGTCTACAAATTCTGAGTCTCTTAGTAGTGATTCATTGAGACGCCAATTCCCCTTCCCCTTAAACTGAAATGTGTCCTTGAGGTCCAGAAATACCGGGCTGTGATTCGACCAGGTAAGGTCACCTATAGTACAAGGAAGGAAAGTATGTGGATACTATGATATATTGTATGTTATTGAATAAACCCACACAAATTATATATCTCCCTTGTGGGTCTATCTGTTTGAGTTGAAGTGTGAAAGCAACCTCTCTGCTAATGAAAATAGATTCTGATAAAGCATGGTACTGTATAGGGTAAAACCTTGTAAACATTGCCGGGGTACGGGTCTTATTCAAGTGGGTTTCCTGGATACAGGCTACATCAATATGATGTTTACTCATATCTTGAACAAAAGCCTCCATTTACCTGGGGAGTTCAACCCCTCTACATTAAAAACCATTGATATGGGGATTGGGGGATTGCTGTGCTGTCGGTCCAATCGGCCTTGATACGTGGGTCAATATTCGGGCTCGTTCGTATGTAGTAGGGCCTGACTGCCCGTTTAGTAGCTCCCACACTATCCCTACAAGGGGGTGTGGGTTGTTATTGTTTGGGATGTTTTCTCCTATCGTGGAGTTTGGGGCCTTTGCGCATCGAGTCAGCGTTTTGGTACTATAGTCATGGGGTGGCATTGCATATATGTGTTGATATAATGAGGGACAGGTAGGCAAAGGGGGAGGGCGAAACACCAGAAAGGGATTGATAGCTATACAAACTTGAGGTGGAAATTGCAAGAAAAGCCCCAAAAGAAAGGGCAAAATCGAGCAATGGGGAAACCAGCCACAAGAGTTGGGGTGGTGGCACTTCGCATGTTCTAAAATGGAACTGCAAATTTTGAGGACTCCTGGGAAGCCTATTGTGTACAGTGGTTGGCAAAAGTTGGGCCTCAAGGGCAATCAGGGCAACCCAAAAAAATATATACATATATATATATATACATATATTTTTCTATTTTGCTTTTTTCCGTGATATCTTTAAACCATAATAATAGAACTCATAGTCCTGTCCATGACCCAGTGCGTATTGGGTGCATGTGGCATGAGTGACAGAATCTAGACTTCGCTATATTAATTGGGCAGAGACAGATCTAGCAGTTGCCCACATGTACACCTGGATCTTAATTAAGTTCTCATCATGGTATTCATTAAACAAAATGTTCAGAGGTGACTAGGATACCCCTCAATGTGGTTAGCCCAGTATAATCAACCATTTGCATTGTGTTAAACAGTAGTATTAAGCATACAATACCCAATATGAACAGAGGTGATAATCTATGTATGAGTCAATTTTTGTGTCAGCCTTGGAACTTTGGGACGGTCTTGTCTCTGCGGTTTTGGCATCGGGATACCCCAGGTCTGCAGATTGCGGGTTCCATCTTCTATTGATGTGATCTGATGGGTAACATCTTGATGCTGAACCAAGAGTTTAGCCAGATATCCCCATCTGTATCCTCTTGAGCCCACAGCGACATTGTGAGTCCGCAGCGACGTTGTGATAGAAGCCAAGGATTTTCTAAACTGCAGCATGGCCGCTGAAAGATCTGCAAATATTCTCAAAATTTGTAGGGATCAAGTAAGTAGCCTTTTCTGTGTGCATTAGTGATTCTCTCTTTAACGTGGTAGAAATAGACCTGGGTGATTATATTGTGGGTCGTGGATTTTGACAGGTGGGCAGGCCTCCACAGGCAGTGTGTTCTGTCGACCAATAATTGGTCAGGGTAAATTTCTGGTGTGGTAGTCTGGAACAGGTCAAGCAGGTTATTGTGGTGCCCTGTGTTTGGTACAGATTCCGGTATGCCCCTTATCCTGAGGTTGTTACTGCGCGACCTTTCCTCTATGTCCGCCAGCTTCCGTGCCTGTAAGTGAATAATCTTGCCTTGTTCCTGGATCTTGTCTGCCAGTGAGGTATGGGCCAAGGCATGTTTATCCATTTTCCCTTCCATTTATGCAGCCCTGTGCCCAATGTCCTGCACCTCCCTGCGCAGCTCCTTGGTCAGAGCCTGGATTTGGTTTTGTATTGAGGCCTGAATGGACGTGTAGAATTCCGCCATCATTGCCCGCATGGTTGTGGCTGTGAGTGGTCCATCCTCCGATATAGAGGTAGGAGAGCCCTCTCTGGATAGCGTGTCAGTGCCATCTTGTGTAGGGCCAAGGCCCTCTCTGGCTTTCAGCACCGAGGCTCGGACCAGGAAGAAGGAAGCCTGATTGGCTTTGCTGGCTTTAGCTTTCAGTCTCTGGGACATGTTTAGGTAGTCACCCTAGTTTTTGCTGGCTAATCTTCTTAAAATAACAGCTTCCCGTTGCTCAATTTTCGGGAGCTCAGCAACGCACATGCATCCGCATCAAGAGCTGGCCACGCCCCCATGTATCCTTAGTTTTTATGTTTTGCAAAACAAATAGTACAATACTGATTATTCTTTTTATAGCTATGTGAAATATCTGATGATGGGGAGTATGAACCTGTAATTTTATGTTTGTTTTTATTTTTATTTATTAATGGTAAAACATTGCAATCCAGCAATGTTACAAATATATTTTTTAACTATCTGATATATCTGCTTCTTGTTGATTCTTTTTTTTAAATTTAAAATTCTGCTGTTCTAAAAATGTAGGCGATGAGTAAGAAGTAACAACTTGGAGTGTCATTAATCATAATTAAGATCGATATGACATACCCTCAGGGACTAAGGATCTTGCCGTCTTAAGATCCTTAAGGATTGCTTTTAATTTCATGTTAATGCCCTTTCTTCAAAACACACACAGCTTGCAATATGGAAATTATATTCAATAAATCTATGTAGTAACCGAAAAACAATTTAAAAAGGTTTACCATCCATATACTAATATAATATTTGTCTTTACCATAAACGCCCATTTAAGATTTTCAACTAATGTTTCATTATTAAGCTACTTCATTATCTTTTACCTTTAAATTAGATCACGTATTGTGCTGTCTTTTAAGGGACCAGGCCTTTATTTAATATTTTGGAAAGGTTTTTCAAATGATTTAATTTAATAATTTTGAATAAACTTTTAAAATATTTTATTTTGAAGATTATATATTGTTTTGAAGATTTGTTTGGGCTGGCTTACAAAGAATTTGTAAAGGCTATGGACAAGAGAACAGCAGCTTTTGTAAGATGTTTTAACTATACATCAAATGAAAAAAATGCATAATTAAATGCATGCATGTTTTTATTGGTCAATCATAATTTTTTTCCGTTGTTTTATTTAGGCAGCAGAGTGTCCATATTACTTTGTGGCTACCCCATATAAGAGATGGTTGAGGCAAATAAGAAGCTTTCTTTTTTCAATGCCATACCATTTATTAGACTTGGAGATTAATTGCCGGCAAACTGTGATTCGGCTGAATGTAGACTGATCAGGTTAATGACCAAAAATTAATGTAAGTAAAAAGCAACAAAAAAAAAGAAGAAGAAAAATGTTCCTCAATCTTTGAGTGGTAGAGATCTTAGTGTGACACAGTTGTTTCTGTCAAGCGCAGTGTTGCACTGCCAGCCATTGCCACTTAACACCAACTTGTAATTAATAGCATACAGACATAAAGTTATCAAAAGTTTTTCTATTAACTGTTTGTTCATAAAAAAAAAAAAAACAGAAAAAAAAAGAAGAAAACAGTTACTCTTCACTAGCTACTCCCACATTGGCACTTACACCATCTTTAAGATGATAGAGATGGCCCATTTATCCTACTGTGAAACTGTTGATTATACTTAGTGCAGTGTTGCATTACTGGCTACTGCCACTAAACACTAACTTGGAATCACCAATTTACAGTTTAACTGTTTTTCTTTCTTTTGGTTAAGTGTTTGGAGATGAAAATCCTTTTTAAAAAAAAAAAAAAAAAATCTGAGTGTGTTGCTTTGTAAGTGTGCAAGCACTGTGCAGTATTTTTTAAAGTTAAATGTAATAATGTTACTGTACGTAAATCCACCAAACACCAACCCGTTTTTCAACACAAACACCTATTTTTGCTTAATAAAGTTGTATTAGTTTAAAAAATAAACAATAATTCATATACCTGATTTACAGTAACAAGAAATATAAACCCTCTATCATCAATGTCATGTATTCATCCCAAGACATAATTGAGGGAGGGTATGTTTAGGGGAAGAGGTCCTGTTCCATTTTGAATACTTTAGCCATGTTGCATACATTAGCCATAAGGACTGCTGACACCTACACCACGCACATCTCCACCATTACTGCCACCACTACCACTATTAGAAGTATTCAGCCTCAGGACAGTGGGATTAGCACCATGTCCGTTACATCTGATTCAACATCCAGGAGGCAATCGTTTTTCCCATCCTTGTAATGCTGCAACAACTTGCTCTGCCACTTCCTATGGCACTGCAGCTCCTTTCACAGCTAATTCAAGCGTTATACCTTCTTGGTGCCACCCAAGAAGCAACTAAGAGAAAGGACAACATAATCTACTTGATAAGGGTTATCAGTGTCATTCTTTAGTAAAAATTTAGCATAGTTTACCAAAATAGTGTTGCAATGTCTGTTACTGTTGGTGGTGGTGGTGGCAGTAATGAATCTGGTGAAAAGGTTTCTGTTTACCCCAACATCGATAGACATAATACTTTAACTTCTAGCACAGAAGCCATTGAACTATGAGTATGATGAGTCAATATTTTCTCTGCCAGTTAGTGTGCACTCACCTCCTGCATCTTCTCCACCATCTCCAAGTCCATCTGTTTCTGCTCTCCAGTGCCAGGAAAAAATACCATTTTTTTTCTGGCACTGCAGGATTCTGCGGTGCCCCCCTCACTCCCGCCCACCAACCCATGTCGCTGAAGGGGTTAAAACCCTCTTCAGCTACTTACTTGAATCCATCGCCAATGTCCCTCGGCATGGGTCAGGCTCCGCCCACACTCCTCCCCCACCAACATCAGCCTGCAGGGGAGACCTAATGCACAGCACCTGCATTAGACAACCCCATAGGAAAGCATTATTCAGTGCTTTCCTATGGGGAAAATCTGACGCTGGAGGTCTGTGAGGTCCGAAGGTGTTGCGATAGCTTACACTGATAATGATGCAAATCCATCTTCATCTTCAGCAGATGCAAGGCAAAGGATGGAGGCTAGTGTATCCCTTCAACAAAGCAAAGTCTGGGATTACTTTAGATGCCTCAGAGAAGGCTAACTTACAAAGTGCAAATTGCAGCAAGGAAGTGAGTAGGACGTCAGTGAAGTATCATCTCACTAGTGCCATATGAAGCAACATCTGTGATACCACAAGTCTGTATTAGTGAGAGAAGAAGCAGATAAAGAAAGTACTAAGGCAAGTAGCAAGTCTATTGTTGTGGTCATGTCTGCACAACTTACCAACAGCATTACCTCTGCCATTATTACTATTACCAGTCTTAGGCAGAGTGGGGGGTGGTGAAGATAATGCCAGTAGTTAACAGAGGCAGAAAATTAAAAAAAAGAGAGAAAAATGGGTTCCTCGTTTTTTTTTTATTATTATTTTTTTTTTACAATTTAATAATATTTGTGGTAATCATACATAAAGAACAAACACGGAGAAACAAGGTATGAAATTGTGAACAGTAGTGGGTTCCGTAGTATTGATTTTGCCTATGAAGTGGTGTCTCTTATCAATTTACTCATTAGTGTTACTCATTAGTGTGGTGCACCTAAGTTTGAGTACCATTTTTTCACTAATAAAAAAAAAGTGAAACTTAGCAGCTTTACATTTTGGTCTCACAGAAATCTGTAACATTTAGTATAAAAAAACAAAAAACAAAAAAAAAATCCACCATGCAACAATTAACTAGCCAGCTATAGTATTTAATAACATCCATGAACCACAGTATATGCGATCCTCAAGATATGTTTGTGTATATACAATCATATATACAAACATCATCTAATGCTGGGTACTGGGGTCTGGGGTCACATGCCTTGTATTGGTCTTGCATCCATTTTAAGACCAACGCTTACCAAATGAGATGCACGGAAATACAGCACCATGGCTAAGGCCCTTCTCTAATGCACACAATGGAGGAAACACCAAAACATAAAAAAACACACACACACAACAAAAACTTTAAGTAATAATCGAAACTGATGACAAGTTGAGGTACAAAAATTATCTGAATAAGTAGAGATTTATCAAGCAGAACAGGAAAGAACAAAAAAAACATAGACATGGGAAGGCAATCATATATAGAAAAAAAAACACTCATGATGTACTACTGTGCCAGGGACATAATAAGGCCTTATTAGCTATGGGCAGGGATTTATACACTGCAGTAAGGATTTCAAAACACCATAACAATTTACAAACAAAAACAATCCTTACTTTTTTATTAGCTAGACGTGCATAGACACCCATATTTATTAACACCAAGCAAAATATACCATATTCTTTATCAGTGCTCTAACACCAACTGTGCCTATCTTACTTCATTACACGATGGATAAAATGTCACTTAGCTTGCTATACAATACACACTGGTTATATCTTAATGTGCTCATAAAATATGTGTAAAAGCTCTTAAAAGAGCCCCCATTGCTGAATTTTGATGTTGTTGTCTATTGTTAGCTGTATCTCATATTAGTGAGATCCCAGAGGGTTTGACAATTAGCATGAGGAAAACACTATGATAATCAGAAGAAATTAATGGTTTACAAGCATCCTCTTTCATCTCCCTGAAGCACTGTTTTAGCAAGCAAATAAAGTTATTGATTTTTATTAACAATAATATCTGTTGCATATTTGTGACCTTATATTGACATGCAGCACAAACAAAGCTAATTGCCATTCTATGAATGGACTTATGGAACACAAATGATTAATTAGACTCTGAGATTTATTTAGTTTTGCTCTGCAATTTGTGTGAATTTCGGCTGATTGGGTGGTCAACCAAATGTTTAATTTCGGAACCACCATATAGACTAATCATGAAACAAACAGCTCTTGCAATGGACGAGCATGTTTGAGTCATGATTCAGAGTTCTGCCCATGGTGCAAAAAAAGAGATGATTCATTAATTAACGGTTAATTGTAAAAAAGATGATTGATTGAGGACAGTCATTAAACGTGTATTTTATTCATGGATCAAGTGAGAAGTGACCAGTAAAAGGAAAAAAAGAGATGTAAAAAAAACTACATTTCCATAGATAGATAGATAGATAGATAGATAGACAGACAGACAGACATATTTTCAGGTTATGTGTTTCGGCAAACTGAATTTTTCAGCCATGCA